TCTAATACTCAGACAGTTTTCGTTGTATTTCTTATTGGAAAAAAATTGCTAACTTAAGTGATAATCGGATTATTAGAATTAAAACCAATGATAATTTTTGGTCCATGGGAGATACAGGTCCTTGTGGCCCCTGTTCAGAAGTTTTTTATGATCATGGTGATCACATAAAAGGAGGATTACCCGGAACAAGAGAACAGGATGGGGATCGCTTTATCGAAATCTGGAATATGGTATTTATGCAATTCGAGCAATTAGATGCTAATACTCGAATAGAATTACATAACAAGTCTATTGATACTGGAATGGGGCTTGAACGTATTAGTGCGGTTATGCAAAATGTTCACGATAATTACGAGATAGATTTATTTAAAGAAATAATTGACTATACCGAACACATAGTAAAAGTAAAGGCTGAAGGGAACGCACAGTTCTCGTATCGGGTTATTGCTGATCATTTACGTGCATGCGCTTTTTTAATTAGCGATGGTATTATACCGTCAAATGAAGGCAGAGGATATGTACTCAGACGCATCATGCGTCGAAGTATAAGACATGCTCACATACTTGGCAGTACTGAACCTTTAATGCATAGATTACTGCCAAAATTAGTAGAGCTTATGGGCAATGCTTATCCTGAACTAAAAAGAGCAGAAGATTTTATTAGTAATATTTTAGAGCAAGAAGAATTACGCTTTAAATTGACGTTAGAACGCGGCTTAAAATTACTCGATGAAGAACTTACCCACGCGCAGCCTAACTCTTGTCTATCTGGTGAAGTAGCTTTCAAATTATATGATACATATGGGTTCCCTATTGATTTAACTGAAGAAATATTAAAAAATAAGCAAGTCTCAATTGAGCTTGAGAGCTTTAATAATAAGATGCAAGAACAAAAAGAAAGAGCACGAAAATCCTGGAAAGGCTCCAATGAAGCAAAAACAGATACAATTGGGTTTAAGCTTCACGCTACCTTTGGTAGTACTGAATTTTTAGGCTATGCTCTAAATCAGCGATAAGGTTAAGTATTAGCTGTAATTAAGAGTAACACTTTAGTGAATAGTGTAGAAAGACTAAAAGATAAATTCCTCTTAATTAGCAACCAAACCCCTTTTTATGGGTTACATGCTTGCCTAGTATTTGATGTAAGACTGCATGTAATATATGAGTTGCAGAATGATGAATCTTTAAATTTTGACGATATTG